CAGTGTCCAAAGCAGGTGCTTCTCTGCAATCGCTGAGGTAGAAGACCTGTTTTGTGTCGACATAATGGGTCCGTATGGCAGGTGGGATCAGTATGGTTATTTGTATTGCTCTGTAGGAAAATAATCCTCTCTATAGCCCTGTCCGCACTGGACTTTTTTTGGTCAAACTAACCGAGACTATGGGTACTTTTCCCATTTTAAGTCCAGTGCGGACAGCCTAGGACGTTTTCCTCTCGGTTACTTTTCCTGAGTCCAGCGGTTACTTTTACTGGCCAACTGCTGCCCAGGAAAACTTCCCACGCGCCCAGGAAAACTGACCAGGTCACTTTTCCCGAGACGATAAGTCCAGTGCGGACAGTGTGAGTCGGTAAAAGCGGCTCAGGAAAGCGTACATCCGGCCCGAGCGCCCTGTTATGCATACAGAGACCGCACGAACCTGCACGTGCGGTGGCCGAACATTTTGTAGAAACACGCTGCAAGCGGTAAAATCTCGTTAAAATATATATTTCAACGGACAAAAATACATACACAGAGAAGAGAGATCACGTTCTGAGAATTAATTTGCAGAAATTCTCTTTCTCCACCGATGTATGTTATTTTTCACGATCCAAATTCGTCCTGATACGCTACTGTAGTCATGCACGGAACATCATGGTACGTCCGGTACCGTACGTAGGCCGTAGTCACTGGTTCCTGCCCACATCATAGCTTCGATTCTGTAAGCATGCGATGGGAACCAACGAATACTGATGGCACTGCTGCCGCACGGAACATCGTACAGCGGCATGGCTTCGACGACGTGCATCACAAAATGCGTCAGAATTATAGGCCTTTTCGTCAAGATTTAGCGTGTCAAGATGAAATAATATCGTGTAAACGATTATGTTGTGCATGCAAATGGCATGTGTAATATTACTGTGCGTATCGGCGGCTGAAAATGTGATCGGCAATTTGTTTTCTGTGTACGGTGAGTCATTTTACTGACACTGTGACAGCTCGGTTACTTCTCCCACGCGGTCTGGGTAAATTTTCCCGTGTCGAAAGTCCAAGTGCGGACAGTGGTCACATTTGACCATTTCTCATTTTACCATCGTCTCGGTAAAACCTTCCAAAAAAAAAGTCCAGTGCGGACAGGGCTTATGTGTGGTTTACAATTTCTGATATGTTTATGAATAAACATAATATCGGTCAATGACGTCATAAAATAATCGGATAGGCTGCCGTAAAAAAAAAACACTGATGAGATACTAAGAAAGTCCTGATAAGCTATTTGGTTTACACTATGTTTTTATCGACGATAAAATAAATAGGAAACTTTTAATCCGGAGTTTGATTGCCGAAGCAATTTCAAAGGAGGTTACTGTGATATTTTTTATTGAGACGTGCAAAGCGTTATTGGATCTTAACTGTGGTTGGGGATGAATATTCAACAAAGTTCGAGAGGCCAAATGTGTGAAGGGAAAGTCCTTTTTTTTAGATTAAGGAAAAGCTTAGTAATAACCGAAATCTCGTACTTTTGAGCTCGTATAAGAATTAAGAAGTATATACTTGTCCATAAAAATTTGCACTAATGTATTTTTATAAACACTGCATACTCAGTTCTGTACTCGGGTGGGACTCAAACCCACGACCTCCTGCTTACTAGTGCAGGCGTCTAGTAAGCAGGAAGTTGTGGGTTCGAGTCCAACCCGAGTATTCAGTGAAGGGCAAAACCCAACATTGAATTTACATCACTCCGATGCAAATTCCATCTTATGCATAGATTGATCTAATGCTGTCGTTTTATCTTAATATTCATTATGTCCGAGTTCGTAACACTAATAACAGGATTTTACGTACACGTACTTAAACTTGTCTTTCCGAAACTAGAACAAAATTTAAACTGATCAAAAAATAACACGAGACGAGTACTGCTTCCTATCGATGTGAAACATCGTTACTCACAGAACCGAGAAATACTTTTCTTTTTGCTTATCAGTCACTGTCAGATGAGTGTCATTGCTTTTTGATTTTGAAGTTGTGCTTGCCACCACACCCTTCGTGCTGGGATGTGCCACAGTTTCAGACAGATACTCCCAAAGGACTGATCTGCTTTCTGTCCAGTAGGGCGAGGCCTAATTCTCCTGAACGGGTTCACGTATGCTTCACCCATGGGAAGCATCGAGATGTACATGTAACGGGAAACCATCAATTGAGAAATAAATGCTCGTATTGTCTTTAGCAAGTCCCAGTGGTACGATGCGCACAGGATCTCGAGGTTATTCATTTATGTCAACTGTTTGACTATGGGGAGTTGGATTTGCTCATCAATTATCTGCTGCAGGCGATCGACGACATTATGGTGCTGTCAACGGTTGTAGGGCGGGCCTTGGTCATTGTGTTTTAACATTGAAAGGTTTGAATTTAAGCGTTTGAACGAATGAGGTGTTGAGTTTTTATTGTTTAGTTTATAAACTTAACATTGAGTCCTTCGAAAGGACACGTTCGGGAAACGTTTCATCCACGTTTGTTGACTGGTGGTTTGTTCTGAAAAAAACTGAAGTTTTCGTATTTTCTGCTTCGGTCATTTGTAAGTCCAGTTGGGGTTCAGTACTTGAACTTCATTCAGTCTAACGTTCTTGGAACATCTTCCTTTACATAAATATGAGATCAGGACTTGTTTTCGTAAGAGTGCGGCCTTCTAAACGTCTATTGTGCCGTTATGTTTATGAAGCCAACGCTCTACTTCGGAATGTTGGGTGTTTCTTGCGCGTCCTTGATGGTCTAATCTTAATACAACTCATGTGTGGTAATTTTTTTTTTTTTTCAGCTGCAGTTGTTTTTTATAAGTCCATTCTTGCGTGCATTATTCAAACTTCAATAAAGCTATGCTCTTGTTCAAAGTTTACATGAATGTGAGAAATTGTGAATGAAGCGAATGATTTCGTTAGGGTAACGACATACACGTACGTCAATGCTTTTGACGTCATTAAAGATTCGCTTCGCTTTCGGTTTCCCACGAAGTACGAACCGGCTTGTTAGACTTAGCACAAGAGTCACACAATGGTGTTCGAAGGACAATCAAGTCTGGAAATGAGTCTATTATGGACAGCAGGGACCTATGGCCTGTGTTTTTATCCCAGAGAATAAAGCTGATATTGTTACAGGTTTCTTTCATTCTCTTTCTTTTGATTATGTGAGAGGTTCGCTGCAACAGTGCAGTAATCTTGCTGAAACCAGAATCAAATGTGATTTTCACGCTGGTATACGAAGTATATGTTAACAGAGCTTTTATTCTTCGACTTTTTTTTTTGCAGCTCTGCCCATGGCGCTAAATTTCCCAATTGACATTTGTTCTGAGGGTTTAAGTTGTCAATACGACTGTATTATGGTTGTGTTGGACGTGTATTGAGCTGAAGTATTTTGTTCTCTTTCGTGGCCGCGGGCACTGAGGCCACGCACTGCTGCGAGCCTGTCAGGGCTGAAAGGATGTGCCAGCCCGCCAGATCTCGCCGCAAGATGGATCATCCGAGCGATTTTCGATAAAAAAGAAATCGGCATTGAAAGGAGAAAACAACTACAGAATGGCCGGTCGTGACTCACCGAATACTTTGAAGGGATCGACAACCAGATTCCAACCGGCAGGGGAAAAAAATACCAACTGAAAAGCAATAAATGGGAAAAAAAGAAAACCACAAAAATTGCATTGTCCTCTTTGGAAAGAAACCTTCCCAATTGTTATGACACCAGTTTAACCTCAATTTTTGATGGGTAATAAATGGGCATGTTCACGCACGAGAGATGTGGAATACAGAGTAAAGTTTGCGGTCTCTTCTGTAACAAGTAAAGTGGAACGGGAGCGGTATGCTGTGACAACCCATGCGATGAAGATAAAAGTAAATTTAAGTAATTGGCTATGGAGTTACAATAGTTTTTAAAATAGATTTGACCCTGAGATTCCATTCCAAACTGGCCACTTTTATCGGGTGTACGTGTAGTGCGTTTGTTGTGACATACAAAAGTTGAAGTTAAGTCAATTCGAACTCATATTTACTTTCATGATTCTACGGTGGGATCAAAGGTGAATACACAATTTACTAAAAAAAAATTATATAACATATGATTATGAACTATATTAAGCAGTGAGAGTAGGTAGATTGCAACAATATCATCATCAACAACATCAAAAGCGTCATCATCTTCAACAACATCAACTTAATCGTCTACAAACAACAACATTGTCATCTTCTACTACAACAACATCATTATTATCATCATTCCCATCAACAACAGCATCATCATCATCATCATCATCAACAGCATCATCAACAACAAACAATAATAGTATCAACAACAACAACAACAGCACCATCATCTTCAACAGCACCACCAACAACAACAAACAATAACAGTGTCAACAACAACAACATCAACAACAGCTCTGTCATCTTCAACAACAACAACAACATCATCAGCAACAAACAATATCAGTATCAACAACAACAACAACACCAACACCACCGTCATTGTCATCATCAGCAGCAGCAGCATCAACCGCATCATCATCTTTTACAACAATGACAACATCATCAGTACAAAACAACAGCATCAGTCTCTTCAACAACAACATCATCCTCTTCAACAATAAACAACAACATCAAACGAACAAAAAAAACAACGAAACAATTTTTATGACTTCAATCAAAATGTGTCTATAAATCCCATGTCATTGACTATTCACCTGTGTGTCTGGAAATGGGTCACAGCCAGGTATGTTGCGTATTACAAGTAATTCATATTGATAGACGCATATTCCATTTGGGACTTGTCAAAGTCCGGAAATCGAAGGAAAGTGGCAATATGCACACCATTTGGCGGGAAATTAGAGGCTACACGTTTAACGCAAACCTTATCCACTCGCTAATTGGTATCGGCAGTTTTGCCGAAGTTTATTTCCAGAGTCATGTTGCCTTAAAGTTAATGTCTCTTTTTTTCCTCGTGTCTGATTATTTTCCTGATAGGAGACAGGGCTAAATGTGACAAGGAAGGGGAAGTGGTGACGTTGCCGATCTTGTTGGGGAACCCGTGCATTCAGTGTGTCTGCAAGGTGAGTACAACAAGAGTTATTGTACAAACTGATTCAAATATCTACACGCTTTTGAAACTAGGGGCGAGTTAGGAAGTCAGGTTGGCCTAGTGGGCGTTTCCTCCCTGTGTCCCGGGTTCGATTCCCATCCAGGCCCACATGTGGATCAATTCTGCTTCTCAATCCCAGTCCTTGCCTGATTCCGTGAGTTTTCTCAGAATATCCTGTTGGGATTTTACCTCAAATTATACAACAATTCTTCTACTCAGATGGTCTTATGATTTCGAGCTACAAATGCACGCGTACTTTTTGGAGCCCTTGTTTCCATTGCCAGATGAAAGATAACAAACAGTAATAAATAGCAAAGAATAGTAAAATCACAAACCGTAAAACCAAATGACAGAAACGTTTTGACCCAGTCACGGATCAGCACACGGCTACTGCATATATTTCTCAAAGGGCCAATAACCTGTCTCTATTTTATACACTTACACGACTTGATGTTCCACGACCTGTTTCCATTCCAAACACAGCGAATAAAAGTGCATTTCCTTCCCCCTTTTTCTATGACAGTCCCATTCCAATTTGTTAATGGATTGTGAGAGAGCTGGCCCCTAAGGTACTTCTCTCGACTTGCTGCAGAGAACGGGCAATTCTTGTTGCCAGTTTGTTCCCCTGGGCGAACTGTTCTATTTTGAGACTGTCGCCGAATACATTTCACTTGACTCGCAGTCAATCTTTTAATGAGCTTGGTTTCAAAATGTGGTTGTGTTTCACAGATAAGGGCGTGAGGTCATTATTTCCGATGGATTTCTGGTTGGGGGAGGGGCATGTATTCAAACTCTTTTTTTTCACCCAATCATTCATGACAACATTTGTTTATACTAACTTGATTATTTGGTTCAGAATAATACATGTATAGGCCTACAAAAGGTACAAAAGTACAAAAGCTCACGGAGCAGAACAGAAACAGTAGACCCTTATATCAAAATTCACCCATTCATAAGTTCTTTTGTGTATGTTGTAAGAAACATTTGAGTTACCATTTTCCTCACCACTTTAGGCACTGTAGTTGCCGCCCTTTATGTGTAATAAGGTAAAATCACATCACCAGAACTAATGTTTTTAATGTATGATGATGTAGGCCTAATGCTAGAACTGCTGATGTATTGTGTATATGACTATAAGCGAAACATTCTTGGCATAAAAAGAGCAACGGTGTTTCAGTTCTGATGTTGAAACATGACGGATGACATGTGAGTCAGGTTTGTACATCGAGAGGAGAGTCAACTCAACGATGGATTAGCAACGCAAGAGCAAGCAGAAGGCGTCACGTTGCCCAACAGTCAACGACCACACGCGAAGTGTTTTCCCTTTTTTGTAATACATCATACAACTCTCCTCCACTCTTGTACTGTTTCAGGCCTCAAAGCCCTGCAGTGTCATGTCTGGACCACAAACTCTACAAATCCATGTGTATCTTCCCTCCAGTAAGCTCCCTTTTGGGAGCACTAATTACAAGGAGAGAGGGGGCCGGAGTTTAATCCGATCAGCCTTTATCAAGTCAGCGTTTTATTGTGATGATACCATTCGTGTCTGTTTTCTTCAAGATCTCCGAGTTGAAGATAAACATATGGCTGTCGCTTTTCTGACAGCGGAAGGGATTTGGGTTTGAGTCACAAAATGCTCGGTGCGGACAGGAACTGTGATGACGTAATCATGACGTCAATTGTGAACGTTGGAACACCATCCATGTTGGATTACATTGCGTGCTGACTGTTATTATTATTAATATTAGTAGTAGTATTTTTAAACCAGGGCGCGCCATCTTTGTATATGTTTGCAAAACCCCTTGTGACTTAGTTTTTCGATAAAATGGTTCATTTGGGTCTTCAAGGTTAAGTATTAAACTGGGGATAAAATTATTTGTTTCCCTTCAGAATGGTGTTATTATATGCGAGCGGGAAACATGCCCAAAGCTGGATCAGTGCGCCCTCATATTTACTTCACTCGGGAAAAGTTGTTGTGAAAAATGTAAAGGTGAGTTTTACAACAGAATTTGAGAAAGTGATCAAGTTTTAAGGACATTAAAACTGTAACAACAAGAGACAATATACCTCCAAGCTTAACATGCTCATTAAATTGGTCCGATAAAGAGCATGTTATCATCGAATGTGCTTAATTTAATTATTTCTGTTCATCACTTTATTTATATTTTGTTGCTTAAAGTTAATGTTTAATCAACATTTTGTGAAACAGGACCTATTCTTCGCTTAAAATTTTGAGCAAAATTACACCGAGCAGTCAGCCATATGATTAGATTTAGTGCTTTGTGAGTCACTGTTATTTTTATCCTTTCCTCTGAAAAGTTTGTAGATATAACGGGGACGATTACACGAGTGGCCAGCGGTGGAGCGCGCATAACGACCCCTGTCAACAGTTTGAATGTCGAGTAAGTCGATTATCTCGGATTATGTCAAATCTCCGTGTTAATCCCTTTAAGCTCCAACTAATACCTCTAAGCTGTGTGCTAATCTTTGTTGCTATTTCAAATGTTCAATTTCAGTGTCTGTTTTTTTAATAAGGAAATAATTTAAAAGGAAGAGTTTAACTCAAATATATATTCGCCCACTGATTTGTTTTAAAGAAATTTAGTTCCTTATTTGGAATCAAGGAGATTTACGTAAATGGAGTAATTCTCAATTCTGAATCATTAGTCAGTCACAAGTCGGTTTCCAAGTAAGGTCCAACATAGAAGGGATGAATGACAGAAAAACTTGTGTCTAGTTCATGTGAATAGCTTGTTATTGGATTTCATAATAGACGGTTTGCGATGACTTGTGATGATAGTGATGACTTGTTTGATTACTTTTGATTATGTGATGCCTTATGATGACTTGTGATGACTTGTGGTTACATGTGATGGCTTGTGGTGACTTGTGATTGACTTGTGATGACTTGCGATGACTTGTGATGATTGTGTTATGTCTAATGGTGACTTTTGATGACTTTGATGACTTGTAAGAAACTTACGATGACTTGTGATAACTTGTGATGGTCTGTGATGACTTGTGATGATTGGGTGATGTCTTGTGATGACTTGTGATGTCTTGTGATAAACTTACAATGACTTGTGATAACTTGTGATGGCCAGTGATGACTTGTGATGATTGTGTGATTTCTTATGATGACTAGTAATAAACTTACGATGACTTGTGATAACTTGTGATGACTTCTGATAAATTTACGATGACTTCTGATAACTTGCGATGGCTTGCGATGACTTGGGATGATTGTGTGATCTCATTTGATGACTTTTGATGACTTGTGATGACATGTGATCACTTATGATGACTTGTGATGACCAGCGATGGCTTGTGATGGCTTGTGATGACTTGCGATGACTTGAATGTAACTCTGTTGTAATCCAATTGTATTGTTATGGCTTTCTTGTTCACAGGAAGGTGTATTGACTGCCTCGCGGACGCAGTGTGTGGAGGCATGCTCAAACCCAGCCATTGTACCGGGCGAGTGTTGCCCTGTATGTCCAGGTAGGATCGGTAGATGTGTCATTGGTAGTTTATAACAATCTTCCCACCTATCATTTCCTCCCTAGTAGATCCAGGAGGGGGCTTAGGGGTGGAGGCCCCGCCCCTTCCCAAATTAGCTCGGTTAATCGTCTCTTGTATAGCTCATTGTCTTCGGATATTGTGGTTCTAGCATCAAAACTTAAAAAGCTGAATGGCTTCTTAAGCTTTGCTCTTAACACGTCAGCGCCCACCCCCCCCCAAAAAAAAATTTCTGGATCCGCCCCACCCCTCCATATCTCCCAATATGCCATACAGGTTTGTATAGCCATGAAATCGTGGCACAATCCATGAAATAGATTTTCCTCTTTTTTTGCTGGCATTCGGCAGATTTCTTTCTCAGTTTGCAGGGGTTTCTTTATATAATGTAGTCACACTTGTGAAGCAAGCCCTGTTTTGGAAGAATGGTTGCCAATGATGTAACACCAGAGGGCGCTTTTTTTATTTTACTATTCTGTTATGTATTTTTGTTTACAAGTCCACTGTATAAGAAGAAAAGGGGAGGTGGTCGATGTCACATGAACGTTCCAAATTGGCAGGTTAGCGCCAACTTGTCGCGGTGACGTCATTACGCGTGACGTAGTGAAATTAATTGATGCTTTTGAACTCTTTAACTCTTTCATCTGGTCTATAACCAGACACACTTTGCTGACAAGAACTTTTTAACAGGCTGTAAAGTGGGGATGGTTATACTTGAAATAATAATAATCAAACACTTTGCGTTCCAAAAACAGCTCACTGTCGTCAAATGATGACGTAGTCTTGTACAAGAGTCGTTCATTACAACCGCAATTTAGCTGTAATGGTCCAGTTAACGAGGCTTCAAATCTCTGTTACCTACATATTTTTTTAAAAAATGGATGTCTAATATTAAAAACGTATCTAGACTGTGCCTTATATATAGAAACACTTTGTTGATGACGTCATTAGAATGGTGACGTGACGACGAAAGAGCGTAGCGTTCATCGTTGAACGCAGTTGAACTCTAAACTCATTGAATTGTAGTGTTGCTGCATGTTGATACTTGGCAGAGTGGTTAATGAAGAACGTGCCAAACGTATTCAGAGGCGTTGAATGCTTCTCAGTTTTCGATTGTGATTGAGTTTTTTTGGTCACAGCGGTGGAAGCGGATGTCCTTTTGTCAATCTTGTTTTGCTTTTGTGATCTGATATGACAGAAGTTTATCTATGAACTTTAAATAAAAGGATGAGCGCTGGACGTGTTTATCCTATTACAATCGTTTCAGAATGATTGATCTGTGGTCAAAATTAAACCCCTTGGAATTAATAATACACTACAGGTCATTCAACTTGGGAGATGTGCGGCAGTCTTATATTTCTGGGCAATATTTACTTTTAGTGATAGTTCATTTAAAGCAAATTCATTTTTATAACATTAATAAACGAAAAGGTAGATATAAGTATCGAAAACTGGGCTCAGTTCACTTTGTATATACATGTACATCCATAGCCTGTTATGTGTTTAAAATTAAAGCATGCAGCGACTTCGTGTATAGGCCTACATTTTCTTCAAGGGAGCGTGTATATTTACTAGTCATTTATCAGTGAAAGCAATTTCATTTTCGCACATTATAAACGAACATGCAGTCGAGGAAGATTTAATAAAAGCTACCAAAAAAATCCAGGGTGTACGTACGGAATTGTAATTATGCATGGATATATTTTCTACACTTTGAAATGACTAACCAGCTCTACTGACATAACATATTCCTTAGTGGTTAAAACCAAAGACCCAATTATTTCATTCCTCTATAAAAAGCTCAGCCCTCAGGGAGTGGACCCCTGCCACCACATGTTCCCCACATCGCGCCAAACCACCGAATAAGCCCTCGATGGCTGATATCTGTCAGTGCTCTTACTTTATTACTCAACCGTACTTCTCTTTTGCCCCAGCAGAGTGTTCCTTTGAAGGGAGGCGTTACGCCGAGGGAGCGACCGTTAGGTCTGCTGCTGACGCTTGCGTTGAATGCACGTGTAAGGTACGCTTTAAGGCTCCACATAACGATACAAAATTTGCAGTTTCCTCCCGAGTAATCGAGTGCAAATTGATATCGCATACAAAACCCGTGAAGGCTTCTTCAATTGTTTTTTCAGTTAGGTTTCAATATTTTTTGTGATTTCAATTTTTAAAACTGATTGAAGATTTGACTAGAATCTGGTTAAACCCGACTCTTATAAAGTACAACAGATAGGGACTGTTTTGGAGAACCATTCACACGTGCGGATTAATATCTAAGTATGTCATGACGTCACAGCATGTAAAAATAACAACGCTTTCCATGCTGTTTGAAATAGGGGAAAACTCATTTCAGGCAATTAAGCGGAACTGATTGAACAAGGTTGTTTACAAAGTGATTGAAACTTTTGAGAGTCCACAGTAATTCCACCTTCAACGCACTTGTTTTTGCACGTCTGGAGACACGACCGCCTTTGTCCCAATCCAACCTGCAATCAGCGGCTCATCTTTTAAGTGCGGGTATCAAGGGATTTGGACTGGCACCTAGATCTGCCTCATCTTAAAAGAGGGTGTTTGTGAATCACGTCCTTGGACTTGACGGCACCGTTCAGATGGTACCGATTTCCCCAGTTTTACCCCGGAGCCACGCTAATCCTCATCCCTACCGTTCCTCACTTCGCGGCAAACTTGGCAGAAGATTCCCCATCGCCTTCCTCTGTTGACATTGAGCAAGGGAAGTGTTTCTTGTCCGCATTTTTTTCCTGCCACCTCTGTTAATGTAACAAGAATTATTCACTTCCTCCCATCCAAACTAGAAATCTGCTCTCACCTGTCTGCTAACATTTAACTGACCTTGGGAAAAGGAAGTTTTTCTTGTCTTTTTTTTATTCTTTATGTTAATGAAAGAAAACCCAATTATTTATTTCCTTCTTTCTAAACTAGAAATCTGGTCTAACGTGTCGACGGCTCATGTGTCCGGTACTCTCGTGCCCGAAAAATCAACAGAAGACGCTGCCGGGGAAATGTTGCCCAGAATGCGCGGGTAGGTCAAAGCACTCTGGTTTTTAAACAGCCGTTTCCTTTAACTGTGCCAACTCTTGAAGAAGTCATGATTATCTGTCACCGTGTTCTTATGAAAATGTGAGCTAAGAATTTCGGTTTATGGAGAGCACAGCTTTGGTGACGTAGAGTATACGTCATGTCAAATGGCTTTCGTTATTGATAATCTGAGAGTCTTCCGATAATCGCATCTCTTTTATTAAAGACAGCCACTTCACATGGTGTATCCATGAGGTTTTTGTTTTGCTTTTCCTGTGTCTCTCTTCCATTATTTTCAACTCCATCTTGATAGTGTATCTATGGAGTCTTTGGTAGGCCTAACTGTATGCAGTGTGTAGCAGCCACGAAGTTACATGTATCTCAATGTAATATAATATTACGATGAGAAATCGACATGCCGCAAAACGTACTTTTTTTTTCACTCGCAAAGTATGGCTCAAAATTATGACCTAAATCAAATGGCATGTCATCAAATCATTAATCTTCTGAATCAGTCATGTTTGCTATCAATAGAAACTTATGTAGAAGAAAAAAATATAAGCCTATCATCGCGTAATAACATATTGGCCAATAGCTGTCTTTTTAAATCAAAGAAAATTTTGGGGAAAACATAATTGCGGACATTAAATAGCTTTCAGCACCCTTTGCTGTTGTGTTGTAAATGCAGTACACGCACAGTGCCATGGAGCATTTGGATGTGGTTTAAGGTCAATACACTTTTAACACAGGAAATAATGAAAGATTGAATTATAAAAGCTTAGGCAGTTAACCGTCTCTCGATATAAGTGTTTTGCACTATGCTGTCATGCTGTCCTGGTTTCCCATATTTTCGTGTTGTGGTTGTTTTGAAATTGATTACCGACACATGCATAATGGCGGTTAATCTTTGCATGATGAAATGGTCTTCCTATCCAGCACCAAGAAAAGTCTTCGATTTGGGCCACCGATGTTTGTTCGGCTCAAGTGTTTTTGATGACGGGCAAAACGTCTTGGCAGAGAAGTGCACGAAGTGCGTTTGTCTGGTAAGTGTTTTGATGGTTGTAAATCCTGTGTTGTTGTGATTCAAGAGTTACTAGAGTTGACACAGACGGAAGGAAGCATTTTTTTCTCTCCACTTTCACTTTTAGGGTCATGAGGTTAAGTAAAAAATATCCGGCTTGAAAGAAGACTACAAAGCCCACATAAATCAGACGCCTTGAGTCACACTATAATTATCTGTTGTGTGTATACACGAAGATTGTGATTTCACCTTGAGTTTTTTTATGACAAAAGGTTGAAAACATAATAGTTGTGCATGCATAATTGTTGTTTCACTTTTGGGCCAGTTAATTCTTATTCGTCGCACAAGATTAAAAAGTGGTTTGCACAGATTTTCACTTTTTAGCCTGCCAATTTTAAGTCTTGTTTATCGTCAGAACTGAACAAAATTAGTTCCACTTTGGCCAACAAAGTCCGAAGTCTTGTTTGTCGTACAGGACACTGAAGTGATTTCCATTTGAAGTTGTATTTTTTGCCTGCCAGATTTAAGTGTTGTTTATCGCACAGGACTCGAAGTTTTTATATCAGAGTTCCGCTTTTCGTCCTGCAATATTTTTAGTCTTGTTTGTCAAACAGAACTTGATGCGGGTGTTCGCAACTGTAGTTCCGCCATTTCGATTTAGTTATTCTCAGTCATGTATACGATTCGATGATAAGTTTCACAGAAGTTCATTTTTGGCCATCTAAATTCTCAGTCTTGCTTGTCATGTAGGATTCAACAATACTTTTCAGATTTGTACTAGTCCATTTTTTGTGGCCAGTTAAGTTCTCAGTCTCGTTTGTCGTACAGGACTCGACGGTAGTTTGCCAGAGGACAATCTGCGAAGCAGAGCTGGACTGTCCGTCGGGTGATGTTATTCACGTCGAAGGAGAGTGTTGTCCCAAATGCAAACCAAGAGCTTGTGGATATGCTGGCAAAGTATATCAGGTAAAATAAATAAAACAACAGACTTGAAAGGACGTTACCCAATCTTAGGCTTCAGTTTCAGTTTCGGCTTCAAGCTATTTTCTAGGTTTATGACATTGGCAACTCCGGCTCAATAACGGTTCATGTTCTGATGTATAGGACAATCCACAAAAGATAGGTCTATCTCTTGGTTAGGAACATCACATCTCTTACCGTGAGGCCAAAGTTTGCATCATTTTCATTTGATTCAGACGTTATGGCTTCAAAATAAAGAGCCCAAGATGGAAGTCGAAGCTAAGACGAAGCCGAAATTTGGAAAACACCCGCTTAAAGAATGCAACCTGTACATATAAGAAAATAAAAAATGGGATAAAAGACTCTATGTGATGACATGGACCCTGTATTATGGGCCCTATGAAGTTTGTATGAAGTTTGTTTCCATTTTATGATGTTTGTGTTAATGAATCATTCTAAAGGAATATTTAAGACAATTGCGATCTCTAAAAAAAAAATGTGTTTGTGTAATGTCTCTTCAAGATCACCACCTGGCAGAACTGTGGTTTGGAGTGACCTTCGCCCCCTTAAATAAACTGATGTGTCCTCTTACACAAACATATTTTTTTACGGATATAAGTTTTAACAACTTTGATACAGATTTTCCTGTTGTGTCTAGTTGTGTTCATTAAGCGATCTGATCGAATCTTGTTAGTTTCGTTTGGGAGCTAAAGAAAGGGCAAGGGGCGAAACATAAAACGACATTTCAAAGGGTGACAAATTTCTTTCTTTTCTTTTCAATTCGTGGTTTATTGATTACGTCCAAATATGATAACAACAAAGCGGAAGTCCGCGGCGCGACCACACAATAGGCTGACCGGGCCCGCCCCAATACACGAACGGAAAGCGACCTTTTCCCAAGTGCGTATTAGCACACGGTTATCGCAAAGAGATTCGAGTTGATTTGTGGGCAGTAGAGCAAGTTCCATTTGTAAAAGGTTACCCGTAACCGCTAGCTTGTTCGAAAGGTTCACTTGTACCCCAAGGCTAACCAAGCACACGGCCTTTTAGAATATACCCAGGATGTGCCAGCTAAACAAAACCCAGAATTCTCCTTAATACCATCACGATTTTTTTTATTAGTATTTGAGTGGAGAAGCCCAGTTTATAATTGCATTGTTTTGTTTTTTTGTATCACACGAATACCCATCTTTAATTTTCAGGAAGGGGAGATGTGGGCGCCACACGCTTGCGAAACGTGTCAGTGTGTGGGTGGCGAGGCGGTGTGCTCAACAGAAACGTGCCCAGCCACGCCAGATGTCTGCCAAAAGGTGAGATAAATTGATCCTTAAAAACCTCCAAAAATCAACCCCTACTATTGTCTCCTCAAACCCATCCCAACCCGTAACCTATGGGGTACTGGGCTCTTCTCTACTCGCTATAGTGGGCAGCGTTTCCATTTTTAGGTATAAAGCAATTTTGATTTCTGTGGGCGTTTTTCGTGCACCCGGTCGCGTGTTGGGCCCCGGGAACTGGGCTACGGGTTACCGAGCCTCGACTGGGGTATAGTAGTCTCCTTACGCTAATCGGTTTGCTTAAATGTCAAGGTGTTAAGCGGTGCAAAAAAATTAATTGATTCTGATATGTGATATATTCTTAAATAAGATCATATATTGCAATCATGGACCCGAAACGACTCTTGTATTATTGAAATTATTACCTCTGGATTTTCTCTTACTTTTTGTGTGCATGACAGAAAGAATTTTTTTTTTTGTCAGTCAGAACTCTGAAGAATATAGCAAGTCAGTGATGCGTTCCATACTGCAGTGATATTAATTTTTTTTAGATACATTGTTCTTCGCAATATGAAATGTAGTTTTGTGTTAAAAGCATAGAAATAACAAGTCGGTTTTGTGTTTCATTTATAAAAATCAAATTGAATTGTAGTTTACTTATATCTTTCAGAATCATGCTTTACGAGTACCGGAGGGCGAGTGTTGTTCGAAATGTATAGAAAGTAAGTGAAAATTTGCATGGCCATTGACAATCATGAAGATCTTGTGGAAATTGTGTATTCATATTTTGGGAAAAGAAATTGGGATAATTGTTTGGAACAAAATGGCCAAATGTTCCGAATAGTTCATTTTGGAATGTCATGGAGGCCTACTTTTTTAATTATTGTATTGATTATCTTGATGACAAGATCTTTGTGGCAAGATGTCGCTAAGACTTGTTTGTAGGGATATTCGTCCGTGCACGTTGCAAGCAGCTCCCGTTCTCTATAAAAAAAAAATCACTTGTACCGAACTGAGAATAATCACAACCAAGTGTGTCGCTCTACCTCCTGAACCAGCCGAATTTCCGCGGGAGGGCCGGGGGACTCATAAATTACACCCTCTGCGAAGGGGCGTTAGTGATTCAGGATGCTCCCATCCCAGAAACCTGTTAGAGAGTCCATCCCTTTTCGTTTTTATTATGCCGATCGGTATCCCGAGTTCTCTGAAAGGTAAAAGATGTTCCCCGGCAAGAGTCTTTTGGGGTCTCGATGTTGTGGCCGAGGAAGGATGTTCGGTTTAAGTAGGTGTCAAGACAGACACCTGGGAAGGATCACCAGGGGAGAACACCACTCGATCACAGGCTACTCAAAATTCTAATCGGTGGTCCGGCGGGAATTGGACCGGAGCCCAATTTCACGAAGCATGCTAAGCACACACTCCTGCTTAGAAATCTTCACGCTCAGCATTAAAAATGATGAGAACCAGTTGCGAGCAATGCAAAGCCCAGTACACTTTGGCTGGTATACATACTCTGTTCTTGCTTAGCAAGAGTTATTATGCTCAGTAAAAGAATATGCTTAACAGCTTTGTAAGGTTTGGAATGATAGATGGTCCCAAATTGTTCTGGTAGTGAGAATTAGTTCAAATCAAAGTGGAGGCTAGAAGGCGCTCGATAGTGTGAATGATAGAGGGCGTTCGATAGAGTGGTTGATAGAGGGCGCTCGACATAGTGGACGATATAGGGCGCTTTAGGCAAGAGTGCTTTCTTCTTGCTGACAAATTTCATATGCACTAAAGAATCCTTCATTTTACAAAAAACCGACTGTGTTCACTGATAAAGAACAAACAAGAAGATCAAACATGACAAAGTAAATTCAGAACAATATACATGTAGGCCCTACCTTAATATTTTGTTCCTTTCGTTACTCCAGAAAATGCTTTATGTTCCGTCTTTGGAGACCCGCACTACCGAACCTTCGACGGCCGACTTTTTAACTTCCAAGGAACCTGTAAATACATCCTGGCGTCAGATTGCGCAGACCGGACATTTACTGTGCGCGTGCGCAACGAGGGCCGACAGACCAGCAGTTTTGCCTGGACGAGGACGGTCTTCATTAGCATACTGGGTCACCGGGTCACGCTGATGCAAGATTACGCGGTGCGAGTAGACAAGCAAGAAGTGGCGCTGCCTTATGAGGTTCCCGAAGCGCTGAGAATACGAAGCGATGGGTTTTTGATTAGAGTGTCCACGAAGATCGGTAAGTTGTGACATAACCAACTTTTTTTTCTGTCAGTTCCCGGACATCATCCTTCAGCTGTTATATGAAATGTAAATATTTAAGGCACAAATATATTCACATATTAAAATGTGAAAAAAATATATATCTATTTAAAAAGTGTCATTGTTCTTCTCTTGCTATCACAAATGTGTATGTCGTTTCCTGGGAGTCTTTTTCATTGCTACAATTGGAAAGTATGAATCATAAACATTATGACGGAGTTATTAGGTCGAAATTGTTTTCTAAAGCTGATTGTGAAGAACACAACGGTGTCTGTCGCCCTCATGCGTCCGCATGTCTGGCCACATGATCACTTGGGGCACGTCAGTTACCGGCCCAATTTTATGGCTCTACTTACTCTAAGCGAAAAGTCCCTGCTAACTGTTTTAGAAAATTCCGTGCTTACGATAAGCGTATTTCACGGATTCGCGAGGAATTTTGGCTTCTGTGCATGCGTACATCCGTAACTATGGATTCTGTGCTTACTGAGGGATAGCACAGAATATTTCTGCTAGCGCGGTTAGCACAAAATGGTGATCGTAAGCACGGGATTCTGTGGTTAGCAGAGCATTGAAATTGGGCCATGGTCACAGCATTGTGCCGGCCATTTTTAAAATTAGCGCCGTATTTTAAAAATATAACTGCAAAGTCCAACGTACAGACTAAACTGTCTCCGTTCTCATTTATGATATCCGGAACGTGTCTTCTGACGACTGACAAGACGCCTCGTTCAGTCGTCAGCATTGTGGTAGCTATTGTTTAGAATGTCCGGATCATTGTTGTTGCTCCTTCTGCATTCTTATTACTGCGTAAATTATGTAAATAATCAACATTTGTGTGTTTTTATTAGGTCTTGAGGTCACATGGGACGGCGACAGCCTAGTGGAAGTTTCCATGCCGCCGGCTTTCAAAAACAAAGTCTGCGGACTGTGCGGAAATTACAACGGCAACCGGCTTGACGACTTCCAGCTCCGGCACGGCGCTGTGACCACGGACCCGGGGCTGTTTGCCGAGTCCTGGGTCTCTGGGAACAGGGACAGGTGTGCTAGGGCGCCCTCAACGACGCAGAGCGTGCCATGCGGTGATAACCCGAAGAAACGACTGAGGGCGCACCGAGAGTGCAAAGTGCTGAGGACCGAGAAGTTTCAGGGGTGCACTGAGGTGGTCGATATGTGGGTGTATTACAGGTGGGTTTTTCGTTTAAATTATGGTAATTTTAGCCGTTAGAGGGCGCACACAGATACGGTGTGCCCGTTGTGGCTTAGTTTTAAAATGGATTTGTTTAATATAGGCCGTACATGTACATGTAGTGGTTATTTTTAGCTTGGGATTACAGAATTATGGCCCTTTTCGATTTCTCTGTTACAAATTCCCTTTTGATATTTTGTCTCTTGATGCAGGTCGTGTATAACAGACATGTGTGAGTGCCCTAAACATAAACCTTGCTACTGCGAAGCGTTGAGGGCGTTTGTCAGAGCATGCCAACAAGAAGGGGTCGAGGTTGAACTGGACAGCACGTCCACTTGCACAGGTTAGTGACCTTTACTCTCCGTTGTTCATAAAAATACCATTGAGTTGAATTCAAACAATAAATTGGTTTTTATTATTGAAAGTACGTAAAGCATTATTTTTAAACGAAGCACTCTTTTAACATGGTGTAACTTGAATGCTTGCTGTAAAAAAATCCCAATTTTTCATTCCTTCCGTAGTACAAACGTGCCCAGAGGGCGCTGTTTTCGCCGAATGCGGAACGCCCTGCCCTCGCACATGCGCAAACAAGGACGAACCTTTCATCTGCGAGCGGCCGTGCGTCGCTGGTTGCCAGTGTCCGGACGGGCTTGTAATGCACAGGGATAGGTGCATACCAACGGCGGAGTGCCCGTGACGTCATCAGGGAATCAGTTGAAAGAGTTTTTCAAATTTTAAGATATGAATGGGAGGGGAGAACGACGAAAATTGCTCCCTGTTGCATAGCAACATAATCTTGTTTTAAACTTCTGTTTTGTTTCTACAAAATGTTTAACAGATACATACGTATACTACTCTGTGTCCCGCCTAGAAGTGCGCCCTCACACAATATTTATTTTACCCTTATTTATAATACACTTTCCAATTGACGATTATAGACTTACCGAATCAAAATCTAATAATGTACACTCCTAAGTCTAGCCATGAAAAATGTTATGAATACGTTTAATTATACAAATTAAATAATCGTTGAGTACCAATTTCACGCAGCTGCGCAGCCTAGTAATGACTATTTATGTAGACAAATTGAAATCTGTTGTTGATTGCTAATTACTGATTAAAGATGAAATTTGTTTATAAGATTTTCAAAAAAAAAAATATGTACACATCTTCTGCCAAGCAGCTTCGGCAAACTCAACTCGCTTTTTGTGAGTAATGCATACAAATATCTGACTGGCGCAGGTACGGACGACCTTTCTGTAGTACAATATTTGTACATGTAGTACATTGTAGTTTCTAATTGTCTTGTAGCGTCCCCATGCAAAGCATGCTCGGTTTTTTTTTTTAAGTGATTATTGAGCTAAGTTTAAGACAAGTTGCTGTCAACTTGTTGTATGCCTGAGGGTACTTTTGTGCTGATGACTGTAATGACTCGGGCTTTTTAATTACGTTGGAGTTGTCTGACATGCACTTCTCTTGTTATTGGCAAATGTTCACGGGTGTTTTGTCGACATTTCGTCTGTGTTTAACATGTCCACATGCAGTATTATTGTTTTTCCAAGTTTCGGCGAATGCGCCAGGGTTGTGCGTCATTTTGCGCCTGATTTGCACAGGAGTCGACTGTACTTCCAGGAAATAATTTCTTGGACTTTTCCAACAGTTTTTTTTCTGGAGATTTCTTGACAGGCATAAAAACGCACTGCCTCAGGTTGGATGCCATTATTGAAATTATGGGTTGGAGAATACACTGTGTTCATCTAGATTTCCATGCAATTAGCAGAGTTGAATACATGTATATGTCTAATGTTCTCGTGTAATGTTCTTGTGATATTTGAATCTTCGAGTTCCATGCAACTGAAACATATAGTAACACTCTGTTATACAACCAGCAGACCTCATACTTCATAGATTATCATTTTCGGTGTTCCTTTCGTAGACCAAGACCAAATTTCTTTTTTCCCAAACATTTGTTCTGCATAAATAATAGGTCAGCGTGCTTTAGCTACCTGTCATACCTCCCTTCAGTTCGCCCCTTGCAGATTTTAAATGAGCCATTTGTATATATGCATGAGAAATGGGAACTACCCTCAGGTGCCATACAGTAGGGAATCTTTGACGTTTGAGATCTGTTTTATTCAGATCTTGGCCGAATTTCAATTAGCTGCTCAACACTGAACCAGGAGGAATAACTGCTAAATCTCACGCGAGGAATATTGGTTCCGTTTCGTAGCTGAAATTAGTTTTGCTTAACAAAACCAAAATGAGCTTCATTTTTTTGGTCAATATCCCGATGAAAGTGGCACCAACTCTCCTGTAAAAAGTTAATTTTGATGCTATACTTAATGCAGCACCCAATATGCATCTAATGCAATGTTTCCTGTGTCAGGATTGAAAATGTAATTTAGCTTTAAGTGGTGATTAATTTGAGGCAAAGAATAAACGTACCGTAAGATTTAGCGGTGGTTCGCCCTAGGAGACAAGTAGAATATCTTAACACGTCCTGAAGACTTTACATAAAAATGTCCCCTCATTTTGGGCTCAGTGATGCCGAATGGTAGGCTAAGATGGTTGTAAGTATGTGAACGTTAGTTTTGGCATATAATTTTGGAATTATTGATTTTCCTTTTTGAGGTGATTTAATTTATTGAAAATCTTTACGGATGTTGGATTATTTTTCTGAAAGTATTTTGTGCGAATAACGCAAACAATTGTTCATGTACATGTACAATCCCTTTGTTGTGTTTTGTGTGTTTGTTTGTTTGTTTGTTTGTTTGTTGGTTGTTTGTTTGTTGGTTTTTACTTTCTGAATTATTGTGCTGCCAGTTATGGTTTCGTGGAAGTATCTCTTAAAAAATATTTACGAAAATAAATCGTGATAAATTGACACGGGAAGACAGCTGTGCTATTTTCAAATGAGACCTTTCCAAACGGGAAAAAGCTCAACAATGCATTTCTACCCCTTCCCTGAAAATTACCCCCCCCCTTCCCTTTCCAGGGTTCGTATTTTTCCAAACACGAAGGCAATTTCGGATACTGTTTATGCTGTCAGTCAGGTTATGTGTATTGGTCAACACGCCTCCAACTTTGTAAACATAAAGCATGTTAATTTGGTGTTTCGGGCCCTAAGCATCCATGTTAGCCCGAGATTTGCTTTAATGCCTGTTGAATATTAGTTCAACGAATGTTCAAAGAAGAATCTTTCAAGTGAGTAGAATTTTGCCATACACCAGATCGAGTATTAGTTGATTTTGTTACTTCATGTATTCTGTTGTGTTAAACAGATTGCCAAATGTATAGTCTTTTTTTTACAAAGAAATATGTTGATGTGAAGAGTGGTACAGAATCCTTTGTTAGGTGATAGTTTGTGCAATATTTGTGTATCATAACGTGTTTATATTTTTATTTCCTAGATATTTGTTTTTGGAATATGATATTCCCTGTAGATTTTACCGAAATATTTAATAGCTGTAGGCGTTGAAGTATTCTGAAAGAAGAAAGCTTTTTAATGTACATGTACAGGTATACAGATTGTGTTATTCAATTTTAATTGTTTATATTTGTAATGGGTATGTATAGCATATCTGTTATACCACCGATACGCTGCAGTATGCTTGGAAAGTTGTAATGTATACTCTACGTAAAGGAACTCTTACATAGTGACATTTCAATATCATTGTTACATTGTATTTTTATCGTTATTTATCATTTTCATATTAGGTTTAAGTTCTTTGAAGCTTCAAGTGTCGAACTCTCGCCTCTTCGATTTCTTATACTGCATTTTGCAATTCTCCAGGAGCCAATTACCTTTGCGCGGCAAATGTCAGTTGTGGCAATCACCTGTCATCTTCATGAACGTGTGATATGTTCACAGGTTTTAATTAATGTTTATTACGTTGCATTAAATGTGAACATCACATGGCCACTTTCTGCGCTATACCTGTAGCCAGCACTCTCATTCTAACCTTTTCGTTGGTGACCATTCTTTACATCATTGTAAGTCTATAAAACAGACGTCCTCAACAAAAAAGCAGAAACGTAAAAAGCACAACATCTTTACTCTTAACCCAGCTTGTGTTTTCAAGTTACTGAAGTATAGATTAATATAATTTCATTAAACAAAGTTTGATTCTATAACTTTTTTAGCCAAAGCCTGGTAGATGTTTCTTTTTAGAATGGAAAGTAACGACAATCTGGAATTTCTGTTCTGTTTAGTAGAATTTCTCTCTGTTCTATGTTTTAGAAACATTTTAAAATGGCCAAAGCAAAATTTCATTGATAAATGGGACCAAAATGATTGCAAAGTGTAGTGATGTAAAAATAGATACAGGTTCTTCAACTTGTCCTTAACATTTTCTTTAAAGGGACATTTTCATCTATATGGAATCACATTTTCGCGGGATTCACTGAAATTCTGTCCTGGTTTTCTTCCTTCGTTCCTTGGGCAACGAACATTGTGAATTGGAAAAGCGGTTTAAAAGTACGCTTCTTTTCTTTTACATGGAAACCGAATCTCGTTCATCACTGTAGCGCGAGTGTTACGTTGAAGTTTAAGAAAAAAAGTATTGTACATACATGTTTTTATTTAAAGAGAATAAACTTCCATATTTCACTGTGCAAAGGAAACATAATTGTCGGTGTTCGTACATTGAAGGTCTAAACGTTTTTAAATTTAACATACATATGTATAATTATTCCTCCATTTGATAGTTGAATAGGCATACGAATTTTTGTAGAAGGATTGGCACTAAAAACCATTCGATACGATACGGTTTGATTCGACTCAATTGGATTCGGATTCGATTATATTCTTTTCGACTCCAATGTTAATTACTCGAGTTGATTCGACTAAAAAACATATATTTTCACACATGACATGTATCAATGAAATCAAATTATATTAACAACAAGTGCATGTCGACTTCTCTCCAAAAAGCTTATCTTAAATGGCCTTAGTGCATCTTGAAAATTTCAATCCGAAAAAGAGCAGCTGATAATTTAAACAAACAAGAAACAACCAAAATATAATTTAAATGTAGAAGCGGGAGTCGTGAATATGAAATCGTGTGCTCTGATCTTATACCTCCGATCTAAATGCGAAAACGTGCAAAAAAGACCAACGCACGCAATTCTCCCTGACTCCCATGAATTTTAGCACCCGTCATTTTCCCCTTTGCCACCCTCCCTGACCCCTGCCCTGTCACTCATAACCGTCCCCCTGAAAGAGCAGAACACCGCGAAGGAACAAAATCCCCGTCCCCATCCGTCACTCCGAAAGGAAAAGGGTGTTTTGTCTTAATACAGTACCGATAAAACGCGGTTGAGACGAGCTGGCCGGCTTAGCGGAAACTCCCTACGAATCAATACATCGATCTGTACATCCTCGCAACCCAAATATTTCCAGAGGTTTTTTTTTTTTTTTTTTTTATTTGAGGCCGCATTTCACGGGCGCATGATAACCTAAGTGCAGGGCATCCGTCAAAATCTTGAAGGATCTGTCAAGCGCGTTTCTCATCTCAAAACAATCTTCTGACATGTTGGGAATTTCAGCGGCCTGAATGCATGGCCTAATTAAGCGGGCATGGGGTGTTGTGGTGTTTGCTTTGATAGCAAAATTGTCGGCAAGTCATTTGCGCCAAACGCGCTGATCACGCCATGATGAATGAGATGTTGCCTGTTGCATTACTAAAAATACAACTTCGGTTGTCCCACAAGTCAAGAATCAACACGCGAACTTTTCGATGAAATCGTGTACTATATGCAAATCACTACCTTTATAACGTACCAAAGAAGTTTGATACGTTTGTTATATTGAAGAATGGTTCTGCTCTGCTGATGATATTTTGGGATGAAAAACTCATTGCAACGAATGACATTTGTCTCTTTCACTTATTGAAAGGGCATCAGATAATTAAAGAGTGGAAAATTACTCAAGTTTTATATTAAAAAGGGTTCAAAAAAGGCATTTCTCAAGTCAAAACGAGACCGATTGGAAAAATACAGTTAGACTTAACATCTTGTCCATCGTGTCAGTAGAAGATAACAAACTTTCTGGGTTTTTGTGTGTTGAAAAAAAAGTTGTTCATTGCAATGCTTTTGAAAGCTAGCCGAATACTAAATCCGCTTCTTACTTCACCTCAGTATAACAAGTTGATATTGATTTCAATTGAATTTGCAAATTCCGGGCTAACGTTTCACTTAATCTTATAAGAAAAGACGCCCATCTGGACTGTTGTTGGAATTATTTTCACATAGCATTTCCGTTGAGATGTACTCAATGAATTGACGAGCCACAGTTTTGACCACCTGCTGCGCATGTTTCATGACGTGAATCAGAAACAAAATTCTGGAATACTATACAAATGAGTCATCGTGTGCGGATGATATAAAAGCGGCACAATGGTAATACGTTGGTACACTAATTACAAAAATCTCATCTCTCTCCCACAGAGGCCTCAAATAATTATATAATTCGCTATCCATTAAGTAAGATTTTATTCCACATATTTAAATTAAATCAACGTCTTTATGGGAATGTTGGTAGTAAACATTCATCCTTTTGTCTCCTTTCCCATTGTACGTATCTAATCGTGCTATCCCTCGAAAGGCTAGACTCGCAATAACCACGTTTTCCTCGCCATTCGAGACACATTTTAATTTGTTTAAAGCCTGTACACGATCCGATGGGGCGGACAAGTGAACAGCAATATAATAACGCCGTCGCATCAATCTTGTGCCCAAGGGGACGTACGGGGGCGCACTCGAGTGAAATTACAACGGCTAGATTCCAATTTCTGTGAATGTCCCTTCGATTCTGGGTAAAGTCAGTGGCCGCAGTTTTTGCCTCTTCTCCCTTCCTGCATTTAGCTCTTCCTGCCTTTTTTTCCCCAACAAGGTACAAAATTCAACTGGTGTGACAATACTCAAAGCTGGTTTTGAAAAGGTCGATGACATCTTGACGAAAACGGTAAAGTCACTAAAGCCTGGCGCACACCTTTACGATTTTACCGGTTAACCGGATCATCGGGCCATCGGACGTAGAGATGTGTGCTGAAGAAAACTGGACCGCTCTGACCGTACAACGGGCAACCGGATGCATCAGATTTCGCCAGATCCAAAGTCACCGGACAGTTGTGCGGGCAGCACTCCGATTTCACCGGACGCGTTTGTGTTAGCCAATCAGATTCACGATGGAAGTCAGTCACATGATTCAAAATTGACGGCTGCCATTTTGACATCATGTGACTGGTCATCATGTGACTGATCATCATGTGAGCGATTATAGAATGGAAACGGGCATGTGTGCGGGTATCAATGATCCTGTGATCCGGTGAACCGGTAAAATCGCAAAGGTGCTCAGCTGGATTTAACTTGCTAGTCAGAAATTCCTGCTTGGTCTTTTATGTGTGCTTTATGGGACGGGATATTATCGTATCAGTCCTTTCCACAAATGTAACCATCCTTTTCTCGAATTGTACACGAAGAGAGTTTCGTGTTGAATGGTGTTAGAATTTAAAATCAATTGTTGTTATTATAAAAAAAACTAAGGTTAAGATTAAGACTAAGATTTTAAGAATCACGAATAATTTGTAAGCCCACTGCTACCAAAAGCATTTCTAACAAATCTCCAGCTTCACGTCTTAACTGAAAAGTAATGTTGCGCAGGCGTAACTAACAACATTTTAACTAGTTATATCATGGCTTTCATTGAATTTCGTACCTGTATTAACGAACAGTGGTTTACTGTAATTTGTTGATGTTTCGTAAGGTTGCAGGTTAATTTCTGTTATGGATATGTTATGATTTTAAAAGATGAGCTAGTTTACAATTTGATAGGAAGATTATCTAATTTATTAACCCAAGGGGATAATTTCAAGTAATACGGCACTTTCTAAGAAAATGCAAACAACTAAGTACAGTCGACTCTCGTTATAACAAACTCGTTCGGACCTAGCCAAATTGTTTGTTATATCAGAATTTTGTATTAAGAGAATCATCAGTCCCATTCATTGTGCATTTAAATGCACAGTTGGGACCAAGGCTTTATGTTTGTTATAACCAGAATTTTGTAGTAACAGAGTTTGTACTAACGAGAGTCGACTGTAATTGAAATAGGAAATGAAATACAGATGTTATTGGTTGAATAAAATATTCGAAAATGCAATTTGAAAAAGTGCAACTGAAATGAAATGAAATGAACATTTCATGCATCTGAAGACTATAAAGGGAGTTATCATCCACGATACAGTAATTATTCACCCAAAGGTCCATATTTATCTGGAATCGTTTCGAAGCATGGCAAATCATGCATGTTGAAAAATTTGATTAAGAAAAACAAAGTAGTGAATTGGCGCGTACGAACATTAATTCATGTAAAAAAAAAAGGAACAAATACCCAGAGGCACGCATAAATTAATTGTGTTATCTCTACTTCCGCTTTCTGAAGACGTCACTGAGGCGAGTGACAAATGGGGAGGGGGGAAGGGTTATAGACATACCCCGGGGGAAGCGACTGAAACAAGGGTTAGTAGACGACCTGGTTTTCGTGAAGAGATTCGGAATGAAAGTTTCGATAAAATCGCCGGTGAGAGTAGAGGGCTTAGGGCCCAAAATTATCCAACTTTTACCCAGCAGTGACAACGATAAATTCGGCGATAACACTGAAATCTGAATTTCGAATCGAAGTGGGTCGGGCTTTGGCCTTGTTGCTCAAATCAAGATTCCGTGGCTGTATGTCATCGACCTCTGTCATCAAATTGTTCTTTCGATTTGGCAAAAATTGGTTGTTGCGTAGTGCCATGATGTCTGTTTCACTTGCAACTCCCCCATTTATAAACCGTTCATCATGTACCAATATCAAGTATGTAGGGCAAGATATGGTAAAATGCCCAGAATGTGAGGGGGGGTACCATTGAGCTTCTACAAAGATACATAATCATATGCAATGTCATAATTTAAAGTGAACTTTGGGTCCATTTTTGCAAGCAATACGTTTTCTAAATGTGAGTTGTCTAAATTCCCGGATGTGAGTGTGTGGATGTTCTAATACAGCTTCAGCCAGTGAGCCTACACAGTACGCAGTATAATGGGCCGTTTTCACGAGTCGGGCCATATTGAATTGAAAGTGGGGTAAAATCTTAATTTTTGGAACATTTGAAGAGAAATGAAAGCAAGTTAATTCCTAATTAATTCCAGTCTGCTTCAATGAATAATTTGTAATTTGTAATTAAGAATTTCCTAATGTTTAAAGCCAGATTAAAAAAGGACAGTAAAATAAGGCTACATTGTGCCTGCTTAAATAGTCTGGCGCCATCCCATTGAACAATTAACACTTAATGGCATACGTTCCGGGAACTCGACAAAAATGGCCAACTGGAGAATAAGGCCCATAGGTTTCCAGATGAGCCGAGGGTTTGAAACACAACCCTTCAAAGGAAGTTGATTTTTCGTAAGCCCAGTCTATTTTGTTAAAACATTGCCCCCATGGTAAGTAAACTACACAATTTGTATTCTAAATGTGCGTTCTCTGAAATAAGGACGTATATCGGCTAGCTA